CCTTCAAAGATGCCACATTCTGGCTCTCCAACCCAACCATCGTTCGCAAGGAGGAGCAAACCCCCGAAACTCAACTGGCTCAAGAAAGTTTGGGGTCCAGATCCGTTGTTTTCGAAACCTGAAGCCACTCTTGATGAGACGCTTGCAACAGCAGGTGCCTGAGTAAAATGTTTGACATCACAGCATGCGCTTGGTGCATTCTTTTGCTGGAACGCCAGCCTGTATACTAAAGATATGTGTTTGAAGAACCAAATGTTGTGTTGGGCGCCCGGCGTTGTTGCCATGCCATGCTTGTGCATTTCCTTTCCAGCGCGATCTCAGCCCGCGTTTGCGCAAACTTGTGCTTTTGGGGAATCAAATAAAGCTTCCTTGCAAGGATGTCGTATAATGCATCATGACGCATGCACACTCCTGTTCCATCTCATGTACGGATAATTCCTTTTTTGCTTTCAGCTTTATACGTGTCGGTGCGGTCTTAGCAAGCGCATCTGAAAAGAAAATACACACGACGTGCGTGCTGGGCTCGGGCCACGCCTCCCTTGCAGGGACAAGTGCACATTGCACGTTCACATTTTGCACAGTATCGCCACACATGTGCGCACATATACGCGTACAGGATTGATTTTTCACAACCTGTTCGCTGCGACTCCCATGCAGTTTGGTCGCGGGCTACATACACACCAGCAAATCTCGGCCTCATATATATATATATATATATATTTGTCACCCGTACATATATGCACACACACACCTGCGTTTTTGTCCTATACACGTAATGTATATACGTGCGATTCAGTTGTTGCGCTAGTTCATCATGGTTTTACTCACGCAAAGCACAAGGACAGTTTGGGGTGGTATCAGTCGAAGCTTGTGTGGCATGACGCGGGCGTCCAGTACGCCCACACACACACATCAATCATGTGTGCAAAGTATTTCAGATATCTCAACCACCTGCCGTTTCAATGCCGCGGGATCCCATGACAGTTCATCACTGCTTGATATACTACGGCCATTCCCTCCGTTTGCGCGCCTTCCGCCTTGGCTTCGTTCCTTCCTGCCGTATATTCTTGCTATGTTTTACGCCCTTCTTTGCCTTTCTTCGCGCTTGTCCCACGCATGACTCGCCTTGCCCTGCTTTGCTTCCCCCGGCCCTCCATCTTACTTCTTCATTGCCTTCTTGGTCTGGCTTGCAAACGTAGTGCTTTGCTGCCCTTGTCTCCTCCCAAGCATTGCCTTGACTTGCGCCCCGCCTCTTGCGCTGGAAAAGCACGCGCCATACAGGATTTGCTGGCGCCCGCGCGCAAGAAGACCATGCCGTAGTGTAATCCCAACCTTGAATAGGACTAATTTCATCAAATTCGCGCAGTAAGTCCTTTAAAGCTGCGTTTACAAAACAACTCATGCAGACGGTTCCAGATGTTGGGGCTGCCCAGAACCCTTCATACCAAAGAAATCTTCATGGAGGGCCAGCAAGAAAGCTCAAATGGGGTCACAAACCAATCTCAAGCTTTTTGGAGCCAAAGTGAGTTTCCTTTTGAGGTGATGTTATTTGACAGGTCATAGGTGTCAACACAGCGGGTCCCAAAAATATTGCAATCCAACCACTTAATGGTACCCTTAAAAAGCAGACACTTAAATGGTATGCTGAAGGGTTCTAGGTATTCCCCTTGCTCGTTGACCAAAGGGTGATTTTGCAATTGAACACATGCCCGCAAACGTGTTGACCGTTTGGGGTCGCTTTGACCAACCCAGACTTGGTCACTGGTTTTTGCAGCTTTCCGCTTTTTCTCCTGGGACTACGTTTCAACAAACAAAACAGCACCAGTTAAGGAACCCTGTGTTTCCAACTTTAGACCTGTTGTTTGTCGCATTTGGGCCATTTGCTTGACATGAAGAAAGGGTTGGGTCGAACAATGGCCCCCCTGTTTCACACAGGACACGGCATGTTAGTTCCCCAAGCGGAATTCGCAGAAGCAAGAACTGTCGGAGCTGACTTTTGCCGGAAGATGCTCCGCCCCAGTTGCCGGGAGTCTTTGTGGATTGGTGGCAAAAAGAAGTTGTTCTCCTGGCTCATGGGATCTTATGGTTTTTTTGTGAAGCACAGTGCGGAAGTTTCATGGGCGGCATCTCCTGAAGACAAGATTTCGCCATGGATCCTCCCGATTCAAGTCGGCTCATGCTGAAATGCAACAGGAGGCCTCCGAGGTGCTGCGCCAGCCATGCGACTTGGAAAGCCAAAGGGTTGATCCTTGGGTGTGGCTATTGGTCAAAACCAAAGCACGACATTTGCCATTTGCGCAAGGGTGGCTTCAAACACACTGGGGTTTCCAGAAGGAAGTTCCCTGCGCCAGATTTCGAGACATGCTCCCCCTTGTTTGCCCACGGTCCACCGGCGTTGTTTGCGAACGCTGGTCCAGCGGTTGGCACACCTAAAGATTGGACTCGCTCCCGGAGTTCGTGGATGATAGCTTTACGGAAGACCATTTTAGTAGCAACAAGTTCAGTTTTTTCCTGACCAATCAAATTGAGAGGAGGGTAATGCCAGAAAAAAGAGCGCCGAGACATTCAAAACCCTGGTTGCGCCCAGATCCTGTTCAGTTCCGATGCTCAGACCTACGGGAGTTCCTCAATTTCATTGTTTAGACTTCTCCTTGTCTCACTTTCCCAGCGCGAAACGACATCTTGGCTCTTTAATTCGTTTCGCCCTGTGGCAACCATTTTTAGTGGCCCTAAAAGATGATCACCCTTCATGTGAGCCACGTGCTCAAAACCCGGGTGGGTAAAGGTTAGCAAGGGATGCTCCCAACCAAAAGTAGCTGCGGCCGCCTTCTCAATTCTTTGCACGGTTCTGGACGTTCTGGGTAGACCTTTGTGGCAGGGGGAATTTTGGTTTGGGACGGACCACCGGCCCATTCCGTGGGTCAACAATGGGATCCCGTTTTTGGTTGGTAGGTGAATTTTACCGCCCATTTTCGAAGCTATTTCAGTGGTTGGATTGAATCGGATGTTCACTGGGGGCTAACCGGGGTTTTGACCCGTTTTAGTCTAGTTTAGTGGGGATTGGTTGATGTTCACTGGGGGTAGGATTTGGATTTTGACCCAGACCCATTTGCTTCCTTTGCGCTTCTGGAGCTCCTAGGCTTCGGCATGGCCAGCAACGTGGTGGCGTCCTGCGTCGTCCTCGGCGGGGGCCTCAGGCGCTCAGCCCGAAGCCGTCAGTGGGGTTTTTCAGGCGCCATTGGTTTCAGCTTTCTGCGACTTCCGTTTGCTCAAGAACATGTGTTGTTTCCCACATTGGTTTTAAAAGGATTTTTTTAACTAGAAATATGTTTACTTTTTCCGGGGGTCTTGACCAAATGGAAGGCTAGGAGAGGGGTTCCGTTGGAACTCAACCGCACAACAAGGTGCCTTTTTCCGATTGCTACTAGAGTTGCTGGTTGCTTGTTGCTTTCTGGCTACTTGGTTGGATCTTCCGGACTTTAGCCTTTTTGGTTGAACCAGGCCAGATTTTCCATGGACCCGCCAAAGTTATAACCTTTTTCCAAAGGAGTCAACAGCAACAAGGTGATCATTGCTATGCCAGGTGGTATGTGTACATTTTTTAAGCGAGAAGCACTCCCCTAAAAAGCCCCTTTTCCTCCCAGTAGGGAGGCCAGGGAGTTTGTTTTTTCTTCTGCGGGATCCCCGCTAGAGATTGTCAATAGAGGATTCCCTTTTTTGCCAGGGTCACTGGACAACTGGTTGCTGGCAACCATATTCCAGTTGTCCAATAAAAAACACAAGGGGAAAACCAAAAGGCAAAGGAAGCCAAAAGGGCGGGTAAGGATTGTCTTGAGTGGCGCGCAGCCGAGGAAAAGCGTGAGGCGCAAAGATGCATGTCGTTGTTTACTTGCATGAGGTCGAATGCGGAAAATGTCTAGACCGGCTTCTGGCGCGTCGCAATTCGAAGCGAGCGCCCCAACTGAGCTGCGGCGAGTTCGGGCGAGTGATCAGGTCGGAGCTGTGCGTTCTTACCTGATTTGCTGAAAGCTATGGCAAGAATGGGACGTTGGAAAGCTATGGTTTCTACCACTTTGGGCTTATATATCGAAGATCGGTGCCAAGCCAGCAAATGGTAGTGTTCCAAAAGCTTTCGTGCAAGGGACGGGCCAACCTGAGCACAGCAGCGAGTGACCGGCTCAGAAATTCATGTGCAAGAGGGTGCAGGATCGATCGCAGAGCCATTGGCTTTCATGTGGGGTTTGTGTCGAAGGGGAATGTATATTAGATGCAAAGCATTCAACTTGTTGACCGGAGTCCTAGTCAGCCAATCTTCTCGCAATAATTAGTTGCCCGAAGCGAGTCGGCCTTACCTGTTCATGTCCCTTCTTGGCAACCACTTTCAGTGGCCCCCGAAGCTGATCACCTGTATTTCTGGGTCCTTCAAGGTGAGATGGTTACTTACCTCTTGCCAGTCCACTCCGGACGCGAGATTCTGCTCCCCGCATTCAATGTCGGCAGCGTGAAAGAGAAACATTGAGTGCTATGGCCAAGGGCATCAGGTCGAACTGTTCGGATCTGATTGAAAGAAGCAGACCATGGCCTCCTCAAGCCGAAGTGTTGGGTAAATCACTTTGGGGGGTCTGACTCATGTTTCACCGCAAAATTAGCCCTGATTTTGTCCACCCAATCTGTAAATATGTTATATAGACGAAACTGTGGAGTCCACCATTTGCACCCGTTTCTGCGAAGTTGGTTTGAACCACCAGACCCAGCCCTTGGGCGGGAAACCACGAGCGGGTGTTTAAACACTCGTTGAAGCATGATACAAGCTGCAGACCGTTTGAGCAGCGCCCCAAACCTCTATTGTACTACCTAGATCCATGGAGATTCTAGCAATGACTACTACAAACTGAAAACAGTTCCTGGCAGAACATGGCAGAACCATCAGGCAGAACTATCAACTTCAAACTCCACCCCACTCAGGAGGTCGCCAGTGGTTTTGCTACCGCCGGTGCCAGGTGCTGACACTGAGCCGCTGCTCGCTCCGCAGCCTCCGGCGTTTTTTCTAGAGCCATCCTTTGATCCCCCGCAAATCAAAGCTTTCAGTCATGGAAGGGGGATCTTCCATGGGTTGATCGTGGGTGGGGGGGAGCTCGACTAGGGAACCTGGATGTTTTTACCAAAGGCGGCAAGCAAGAAGTTCCAGGACTTGGTTGGGCCAATCCACTCATGTGAGTAATGTCAACCGCTCAATAGATTTCAAGGTACATACGTAAACCAAATTCCGTTTGCCCGGGATTCCACGTTTTTGCCGCTCCCGCTTTCGTGAGATGATCTTGATTGCGAACTTTCGGCCCCTTGCACCTTTCGAGGTCCTGGCAGTTCCTTGCAAGAATCCGTGGGTCAAGGCAACACGAGTGACTCGACCTCCCGGAAAGAACTTGGACACTTTCTCCTGGAGGCATCGTGGAACTCCCCTTCCAAGCTTTGGTCCCCCAAACGAGACCTAAAGCTCGCGAGTCACGAGCTTTGAGTTCCGGACTTCAGACTCACTCTTTGCGGGGGTTTTGGCCAATTCAGTGGCTCACCGTTTGGTGTTATTCTCTCAGGGTTCGGATCCATCCTTAAGATGTGGAACCTGGCATCTTCATGGGGTGTTCTCTCAAAAGTGACCACGTCTGACCCTAAGAGGACAGCGCCTTGGGCTACACAGAGTTTTCAAATTCGCGCAAGCTAGCCCGTTGTTTGTTGTGTTTTGTTCTTTCTTCTGCGGTTAGAAAGTCAGCTTCCCTCAAAAAGAGGGGGTGTGGTTTCACAGAAACACTATACAAGAGCCAGGGGTTCAAATCCCCAAATCGCCAATCCAAACTACCATATGCTAGAGCTTCGCCATCACCAGCTGCAGGGGTCCACTCAGCACGCACCCTTCCCACCCTTCCCAACCCAACCCAACCCAACCCACCCTTCCCACCCACCCTTCCCAACCACCCGTCCCACCCACCCTTCCCAACCACCCGTCCCAACCCCACCCGTCCCAACCCCACCCGTCCCAACCCCACCCGTCCCAACGCCACCCGTCCCAACCCCACCCGTCCCAACCCCACCCGTCCCAACCCCACCCGCCCGCCCGCCCCGCCCGCCCGCCACCCACCCACCCACCCACCCACCCACCCACCCACCCACCCACCCACCCACCCACCTTGATCGCAAACATGCCCGGCTACGCCCGCGTACCGCCAAAACCTTCTCTCAGGGGGCCATTTTTTTAGTATTTAAGGTTGGCGCGATGCAGGGAATGCAAGGGATGCAATGGATGCTGAAAAGTCCAGATGCTGGTGATGCAGGAATGCTGGGATGCTGGTGGAGTTGGCAAGGATGTAGAGGATGTTGGCGAGGATGCTGGCATCAGGAGCCCGTCGCAAGGCCAGGGATGTCGGGGATGTCTTGGCATTGAAATGTTTGGGCTGGCCTGTGTCCGGGTGATGCACGGGCTGCTGAGGAGGAGCTTTTGGCGCAACAAAGCACGTCAGCGGTAAAATCTACAGGTAGGGTTGCCCTCGCTCTTCGAGCTCGAAGATCACTTTATCCCTTATCCGGTGGTTTGGTTTGGTGATGTAGGGTTTAGGGGTGGTTTCATTGCCCATGCCTCTACAAGAACCGGTTCAAACTCCCAAACCACCAATCCAAACTACCAACCAAGGGTTACCCGAGAAAGCCCTACGCTGCCAGTGCCTGCAGCCCGCAGAACATGCAAACGCTGAGTTTGCGGAGCTTCTGCCGGACAATTTGGCGTCGTTTAGGCTTTTGACCAGCCAAAACAAGGAGTTCCTGCACAGCATGGGCTACTTCACCTAAGCTTTTGGTGTCCAATTCCGGTTCAGTCGTGCGTGCTTTCTTGTCGCCAATTTGCATGAAGCCACCCAAAACGCCAGGGCTCCAAGAGCATCTTTCCTGACCAACACAGAAGCTGTAAGAACTCCATGTCCAAAGGAATCTCCGTTTTGCGCCATCTGCTCAGAGAGCTTATGCCAAGCACGCGAAGGGGGGGACAGCGAGCTGACGCGCTTTGTTCATAGGGGGTTGTTCTTGCCTAGCCCGGCACAGAGCTCGCCCTGGCAGGCCGTTGGGTGGTTGGGTGGTTGGTTGGGTGGGTGGGTGGGCGGGTGGGTGGGTGGGTGGGTTGGTGCGGTTGGTTGGTTGGTTGGCTGGCTGGCTTGGTTGGTCGGTTGGCTGGCTGGTTGGTTGGTTGGTTGGTTGGTTGGTTGGTCATTGATTTCGAAACCTTGGCAACCAAGCTAGTGGTATTGCAGCTAGATGATCGATAGTGCACACGTATTGTATCTCATCGGGGGCAAAATAATATCATCAATGCCGGCTGCGCTTTGGTTCCGCGCTGAGTTGTCACAAGTCACTGTCTCGTGACTTTCTCCTCCAAATCCAACCTTCTCAACATCTTGGCTTCTCTTTGATGAAGCAACAGGGGCTCCAACTAAATCGCCACCCCCTTCCATTATTGAAGGCATGCCGCGCGCCCAACGAATGAAGCTGGAGCACAGAGACTGCGGTGATTGGCTGGCCTCGTCACGCGCCAGACCGCGAGGCCTCTTGTTGCAGCACGCTTCGCCATTGTGTTGTCGGCGCGCTGGACTTCTTGAGGCCGCCAGATGAGCGCAGATCCACAAAACCAAAGGCAGCGCTCGCAGAGAGCTGACTTGCGCGGCGGCTTCTGTGCGCAGAAGCATTGGGTAGAATGACCTTTGAAAAAGTGCGTCACACGCAGGGCCATCGCTTTCCGCAGGCCAGAGACGCTGGCTTTTGTGAATTTCACACTGAGGACTGTGGATGGCAACTTCACAGATCTAGAGGCTGAGGCCGGGCGCCGCGTGTTTACTGGTGTGTTGTTTATTTGTTTTTTGTTTGTTTGTTCGTGTTGGCTCCAGCCAGGCTAGGATCATTTGCTTGAAGGCTGACCTGTTGAAAGAGACCGCAGTTTTGTAAGGTTGCTTGCGCTTGCAAGCATTCACGCATGTCTGGGTGCGGACTTATGGAAACAGTGTATCAACTTACCAGGGGCACGCTCTGACCCCGTGAGCGGGTGTAGGTTTTCGGTCTTGTCCCGTGTTGAGCAAGCAAGGCCTCTTCAATGGAACCTTTTTGCTTCAATGTCAAGGCAACCGTGCACGCCAGCCAAGCGTGTTGGCTGCATTTGCCGCAGGGCCCAAAGCGTCCATGACCAGCTCCGCACACGTGCCATCGTGCCACTCGTATTTGGGTTACACGATGTTCATATTTGGGTTACGTGATATGAACACGTAATTGGGCGCCCCGCTTGAAAAACTGTGCTCACCAACGGAGACCAAAAGCGGGCCAACAAGTTTCTCAAATTCAAGTGGCTTCTGGGCACGTACTTTCACCATACTGATGGCAACCGAAAAAAATCACGTAGATTTACATCTTAGGGGCAACTGTCGGTGTGTATGATGTGTTGGTGACTGGTTGCCAACTGACTTGCAGCAAGCTTAGCAGCGCAGCGTTTTGCAAACGTTTGGCTTGCCCAATGCCAAAGTTTTCTTGAAAGTAACCCCAGAACGGCTATACCCGCTAAGGAAGATACACCTCATTCCAAGGGTTCCAAAGGGTACCTGTTTCAACCAGGAAGGGTGCCTTTTATGGCAGAGACTTGAGCATCCTGCAGGACATCTTCATGCCGCTGCGGCCCATGCGCGCCATCGCGTATGGCGCCCTGCCTTGCGCCATGCCCATCGCTCCTCGGTTGGTCCAAACGAATTGCGCATTTTAAGCTCCTGTCTCCTCGATTTGGAGTCATCCTGGTCTCAAATCTTAAGCGCGTTGATGGCAATAAGCCGCAACCAACCTAGAGCTTGCTTGCGGCGAGGCACCCAGTGGGACCCGAGGGCTACCTTTTCCCATCTCTAACACCTAAATTCGAATCCTACAAATAATTCCGACAAGAACCCCATGGTGTTGGCTCGCTTTGCCCCCGAATTGGCGAGCGCGCGACAAAAAAGGCAGTTGAGAGAGTGTTTTTTGGAGGGCTTCGGCCATGTCCTTCTTTGATGGTCACCTGCTTGAGTGGGGTTATAGAAACAGAGATCAAGAAAAACCATCATTTTTTGAGGGGCAAACAAAGCCAAACAGTCTCACAGAGACCTGGGTTGCTCAAATCCCTAACCCTCATCCATAGCGGCGCGGCGCTGGCGCTGGCAAAGCTGTAGGCTTAGATATCCCCAAGTTATGCCCTAAGGGATTTGTGATTGAACCCTCCCATTCCCATCAACCTTCGAATTGCGGGGGTGTTCCTTGTGGGAAGGTAACACTCCAGCCCCTTGGACTCTTCGGGCGAAATTTCTGGATCTGACGCGGACGCGAGGCTCAGAGCTGGGCCCCCGAAATGAAGTCCTGCAACTTGGTGGGCCTGCCCTCCGAGGCACGTCGGGCCCGGGCGCGGATCGCATGCGCAGCCAGCTTGTTGCACGCATGGGCCACCGAAGGTTCGTTCGTGTTTGGTGTACTGTGCTACTTGCAGCCGTCCCCAAAACTCAGCCATTGATCTACTCGCGCAAGTTCGAACAGGTTTAGAAGTGAGTTTGGTTTTGGCACCAGAGTGTACATCTCCACCCCCTGGATGGATGGGAACCCTCGCCCCAAGTGCCGCGAATCGTTGCGGGTGTGTCGGAAAGAATGGGGGATCCATTTTTAATGGTCCGATGTTCACCCAAGTTGGGCGTGTTCAAATCCCCCCAGGCACCACCGGGACCGCTCAAGCCGTCCCGTGGTTACCTCAAACCAGTGCGACTAAATGGTCCGATGTTTCCCCTTGGGTTTTGCAAAAAAGGACGCGGGCCTTGCCAGGACATGATGCAGGAGGGCTACGCGAAGCAGTGGAACGTCACCGGCCGGGATGACCTCGGCCGCATGAAGGCCAGGCGTGATGGGAGGCGGATCAAGGGCCCCTGGAGTTTTCATGTCTCCCTTTTTGGCTTCTTGGGCATCCCCGCATCTTGGGCATCTTGGGCCCGGTTTCAAGCGGAAATACCGGGAACCCTCCAAAAGACAGGGGGTTGACAAAACAAAACGGTCCTAAACTGGGAGGCTGTTGGGTGCCACAAAGCTCATGTCAAGCTTTCTGAAACTGGCAAACAGGAAACCCAGTTGAATTTTCCGGACCTTGCACTTTGCACCCAGATCCCTTGTAGCGCCCAGATTACCTGTTGGAAAGGCAAACCAATTTGTTCTCCTCACGAAGGTCAAGCAAAGGCCAAGTTTTGGAGCCCGAGTCACGCCATCCTTGGTGTTTTTTGGACAAAACCTGGACGGAGTGAACTGGGCTGAATCTGAGGGAAGCTGCAAGGGCGCGAAAAGCAGAAACTCCAGACGCCCTATTTACCACGGCGAGCCGATCAATCCCTGAACAAATCCCCCCGGATTTTGCGGGTTGGCTCCATAGAGTGCCATAGAGGGGTCGGTCCCTTGCTTGGGACCCCCCGAAAAAGCGCCAGGAGGTTGATGGATGCATGTTTTGTTTGTCGGCAGCGATACATCTAAAGCACGAGCCCCTGGCGACAGAGTCACAGGCCCTGGACTCGAAGAAATCTTGGAGATTGGCCGATGAAGGTGTGGTAAATGCAAGGTTTGGAGTCTAGGTAGGAGTGTTTTGGGCCGATCTGAAGTCTTGATGGTCCCAGCCGGTTGCATGCTTCTTGCAAGCAAGGATCATCCCGTGAGCGCAGGCTTTGGGTGGCAACGCTGTGAGGCTCTACCACTCCCTAGGACGCGTTGGGTCTTGTGTCGAAGGCGTACATTTTCAGAAGCAAGGAGACGTGGGTTTTGTGTTTGTCGACGGTGCCCGTTTCAAGGACGGAACCAATAGGAAAAAGCCACCCATGGTCGGGTCCCCCATTTTGACACATACCCAGTGCTTGTTTGTTCGGTTGGCTGTTAGAAGCTAGGGGCAAATGGGGAACCAATATGGGTCAAAACATTTTCTAAAGCGTACCAACTCCAGAAGTGACATTCCCATTTCAACAAGGGCATTTGGGTGTGTTTTGTTTTGAGGTACGCGGGGAGAGGGCAAATCAAGAACGCATCGGAGTTGTCCTGTCTAATCTATTCTTAGCAAACATGAGGGTGGGTCGAAGAAGCTCGGGCCAAAATTGTGATGGTTTCTTGCCAAACATGACTAGTATGGCATTTATGAGGTCCAGGCTGCTTCGTATTTTGGGCAAGCCGCCCACTTGTTCCAGTCAAGGTAAGCTCGATCCCCTGTCACCGATGGCTGTGTTTGCTTGCTCACCTCGCCCAAGCAAAGCCTAGTGGATCCCAGTTATGAAGGTATGCCGGCCAGAAGGTCGATCCACTTAGGTTTAGGGTTGTTGCCTTGGTAACCTGTACAGTCATTAATGCTTCACTGCTACTGGGTTGGACCTTTAGACTTTGGCTTTTTGGGAAATCAAGTTGGGTTTTCCACTAACCCCCAAAAAGATTAAACTTTTGCAGGGGGGTCATTGTGAACAAAGCCTTAATACAGCCAAATGTACCCCCAATCTCAGAGTTATTCTGCTGCTACAAGAGGTCAATATGGGGCCTGCTTTTGCCACACGGCGCCGAGGTATGGTAGAAACAGTCATATGAGTTCTTCAGGCCCAACTCTGGCTCGATCTCAAAGCGCCCAACTCGCTCGCTCGCTGGCTGGCCAGGACTGGAGGGCTCCGGGTCTCATCAGGGCTTCTTGGACAGGGCCCTGCACCTCGAGCTGAATGTCATGCCAGGCCACGCGACACGCGACATCCCTCGCTGTCGGCCTGCGCTTCTTTTTGTTGCTTTGTTTTGTTTTGGGCAAAGGGTTCCCCCGACCACGTGAAGCCAAGTAGATGCTTAATATATCATATATGTGTACATATATGTATATATAAATACAGTATAGACATGTTTGTTTACATTATATATACATACTGCGCAAGCAACGCGCAAGCTTGAAATGCTCTCTGCTGAGCAAGCTAAAACATGGGTCGTGTAAGCAAAGCTCTAGCTCATGCGCAAGCAAGCTTCCGCGTCATAGGGACTCATGGCGTGTTATTAGAGTTGCCCTCTTCAGGTTTTGCTGCGGCGGGGGGGGGGGGAAGGCTCATTTTAGATTTGCATGGAACGCAATTAACTAAGCGCAAAACACTGCCAGTTTCACATTTTCCCTTCAAATCAAGCCCCAAAATTGCGTCCTAAGAGGACACATAGTAGAGGGGAAACCTTTTTTTGTCCAGAAGGAACAATTGCTCCAACCAAACCGCTCGTTTCGTTGCACACATTCATTTGAGCAGATCAGACTTTTGTTTCTCCTGGGGAGGGGCATGTTCAAGCGGAGTGGGTTTCCAGGCGGAAGCATGGACTTCGTCGTCCACCAGCTACATGGTAATGTAGCATGCTTTACCTTTAAGAGAGACACGTCGCACATCCAGGAAAGGCGTGGGCGCTTTTAAGAGAGGCACCGACTGCACTTTTCAATGGCAGTGCCCCACACGCCTCCGACGCATGCTTCGGAACCTGTGGTCACAGCACCCCACATAAGCTTTCTTGTTTTGTCGGGCCCGGAAGCGCCGGGTGAAGGCTGTGTGGCATTTGATTTACACCTAGTTGCACTCCCACTTCCCAATACGTGCATGAAAAGACAGGAGCCTTTTACTCAAATCAAATCATGCCTTTTGCCCCCCCATGGGCTGGTCAAAGCAGCCTGAGCTGTTTTCATGTTGCCAAAGGCGGATTTTTAGCTTTGAGCACGTTGGTTTCTTGATCCAAGAGATGGGAGAGGTGATGGCTGGAGGAAGAAATCCAATTTGCCTCTTTTTGGGCAGTTCTTGCTGGAGTCGCAATTAAAACATCCCAGTCAAGACCCCTTTGTACTTGGAGCTTTAAAAAAGCAAGGTACTTTCTGTGATTGTCTCTCTTTTTTCTCGGAGGGGGCTGCGGGCCAATTCAGAGGCTGTGCTTTGGAATCTGATAGGTAGCTCACTTGCCCAAAGCGAATCGGTTCTCTGATTTTTGGTGACCCCAACAGGTGACAACCTTTTTCAGGTTCCCCTTCATAGGTTTGGATTGGTTTGGATTTGGATTTGAATCACTGGTTCTTATAGAAAACGGGAAACCACCCAACCTCCACACCTCCCAACCACCGCTTTTCGCTTTGCTTCAAACCACCGGTCCAAAGTGGGAGGCTACCACAGCACCGAGCCCAAGCTCTGCGACAACTTCGACTGCTTCAAGCAGTGGAAGGAGGCCACCCTCCAGGGCTTCGAACAGGGCGCCGGCCTCAGCTCATCCCACTTTTTTCAGGAAATGAGAACCAACTACACGCAAAAAGTCAATGGGTTTGGGCAAACTTGGAGCATTTCCTGGATGGTTTTCTAGAAGCGAGGCTCGGCTTGCCCGAGAAATTGAATGAAGCGGATTGTTTCCTATTGGTTGTTGTGGAAAATGGGCTCGGACGGAGTAAATTGCCTCCGGGAGAAGGGGAACTCCAGTGACTTGTGTAGCCCATCCTCCTGACTGCTTGGCTCTTGGTGATCGCAAAAAAAATCCTTTCCCTTTGGTGCATTTTGCTTAGATTCTAGGACTTTAGCTGTTTGCAAAGCAGTGGGTTTTCCATCAACCCACCAAAAGTCATTCACTTTTCGCAGGGGGGCGATCGATTTCGCCCCCGAGTTCCCTGCCCCCAAACCGGGCGGATTCTTTGGGCGAAAGCGGGCGCCACGTGGCCCGTGGGAACGGGGCGGGCCCTGGAGCCCTGCGATCCGAAGGCTTCGAGGTGAAGGGCGCCTGGCATCCCGCGGTGTCCGCGCTGATCATCATGCCGCTCGGCAAAAACCTCTCGGAACCCGGGAGCGATCGGGCGGGCCAGCGGTTTTTTTCCGGGATTTGTGGGTGGATCGTTTTTGGGGTGTTGATGGCAAGAGGGGAAGCCAAAAGGAAGCCAATGGTCTTGAGGGACCGCGATTTTGGGAAACACCCCTGTGGCTTCCACGCAAAGAAAGGGGAATTGAACCATTTGGGGGGGGCTCAATTTGTTTGACACATTTCCGTACAGGGGCTGCAGAAGCAAAGTGCGAATCACGGTGGGCATAAGCTGAACTTCGTGTTTTGTTTTGGCTCAGTATGGTGGGGGGCTGGGATGTGGCCGCTTCAGAAAGGCGCAGGCGCAGCTATGAACACGTCGTTCTAATCATAGTGGTGAAAGTCAATCGATGTGTGCCCGGTTCCTATGCATCCAGTCCCTCATCCTTTTGTTGCGGGCTGACTTATCACGCGGATTAGAACGGACGGTTTTTTCTGCCGAATTGAAGCTCGCGCGCTGTTCAGCGCGGTGCTTTGGCCTTTGGTTTTACACAGATCTTGCGAGAAGTTTCGGACTCGGAGCTGGAGGTCCTTGGTCGTAGAACCGGGATATGAGCCAAGGGCATCACATGGTGGGTGGAGGGTCCATGACCGCACTGTCAGACGTTCCGCTCTTATCCACCAGCTGGTCCTTTGGAATGGACCTTCATAGGGCCCACAGTCCCAGTCAGAACTGGATAAGGTCATCCAAGTGAAATAATTTTCGCTGGAGGCTGCGCCTTATTCCTGCCAAATACAGGCTACCTATATGTGTACGGTGTGGAATTTACGTGTTATTTGAGCTGGGCTCATGGCATCGGGACGGTCACCTTCCGGGCAAAGTTCAACGCCTTTCGCCAGGAACGAGCCGGACTTCTACGAGAATGACATGCTGTGCAAGAACGAAGGATTGGGCGGGTGGTTCTGATGCCCCCAGCCCATCTTGAGCAAAACCTCACCATCTCGGCAAGATTCGGACACGTGTTTTGCAGGTTTTGTTCACACACACACACCCCAAAGGGGAAGACTAAAACGGACCGAAGCTGGAGGTGTGTTTGGGGGGTAGGTATTAGGAGCAAGGCCAATTTTGGTGGTTTCCTGGTTATTGGACACCAGCCCGCCAAAGCAGAATTTCATCAAGCGGGCCTCAGGAGGAAGGTGACTTCCCACAAGGGGAACCACCCTGAGTATGATGGGGGGCTGGGGGAGGGGGGGGCTCATTCAAATAAAGCCTTCTTATTTGGGCTCCCTCCCCCTCCCCTCCCTCCCCTGTGATCAACGCCCAAGGCACGCCATGAGCCAAAAGCCCAGAACCCGGACTGATGAAAGCAGAACCAACAGCCATTGGCTGTTGGACACAAAACATGTTTGCACAGGGCGTTGGAATGGCTTCTAACCATTCCGACTTAAAGCTTCGATTCTCAGACAGTTATCTCAGAACAGCACAAACGCAAATAACGAATCTGATCCCACTTGCCTAGCCAGAACGGTTCGGATATGCGGGTGTCTCCATTTGCTACCCTGTGTTGGAGTTTGAAAGGAAACCAAAGGTTAACCACCTATTCGGAGAGTTCCCTATTTGGCCCAGGGCTATTTCTTCAGCTTGGTTCGCGTCATTTGGGCCTTTGAGTCTATCACCATTTATTGGATCAGACTGAACTCACCGCTTTGCCCTTTTGCACTTGGCTTCCTTAATTTTGCGGTTGAAGCAAGCAAAGGAGGTGGGTAAGTTTGTCGGAGTCCATGGTTGGCAGAGGTGTGGGTATCGCCTTCTGAGGAATCAATTCCCGATTTGAGTTTGGTAACCTTTACTTTGTCACCTCTACCAGGGATTCTACTTTCTCCCTTGTGTACCCCAGGGTTGCTTGCCGAAATAGGGGGCGAATTTTTGTCCGCTGATTTATTTTTTCTTTGCCTTGAAGCCGCCGCCCCCAATAATAATTGAACTGAAGGCACCCACTCGCAACACCTTGAAGCCACCCCCAACACCGACCGACGCCCGCCCCTTTCTCCGTCCGAGTGCCGCAGGCGCCTGGTGCCGGGCGCGCGCGGTGCTCAGCGCCCTGGACGGCGTGCTGGCGGCGGAGGAGGAGGCGGAGGTGCTGCCAGGCGCGAAGCGACGCGCGAAGCTGCGCGAGCGAGGGATCACCGGGTGGAGCTGGGGCCCCAGTCTTCTACTAGCCTTTCAGCTGGGTGCCCTTTCTCACCGTTTCTTTTTTGGTTGGGAGGGTTCCCCGACTAAAATAGACAACAGAGAAAAAGTTGGTACCAACTTATTCTGACCTCTCTACTGGAGGACCTAGTCTACCAAGTGGTAGGTGCAAGGCAAGCCAAGTGAGCAGCGCCGAAGATCCGTGCAGGTCATTCTATTTGGCAACATATTTGTAAATCAATCCGTGAAGCCGTTTTTGACTCACTTCCCGAGTTTCTGCAGGTTGGAAACTGTTTGACAGTAAACAACAAGTTTCGTTACATTTTCTGGGGTCATCCCCCAAGTGGTAAGTTAAAGGCAAACCACCAAGCACTTTGACAACCCCATGCAGCAAAGCTGCGTTGATGTCGATTTGGGAGCTAGGATTTGGGGGAACCTTTTCCGAATCTTGCATGGCTTGATGCTTGGGGATCCCGTCTCTTCCCGGGATTTCCCGGGCAAATGGGGGTGATCATGGGGTGATCAACCAGTTGCTTGACTGCAACAAGATAGGGGTAGAAGTGTGGGGGTAGTGGAAACTGCTTTAATAGACGGGTTCTCAGGTTGGAAGATTTCAAGAAGGTGTTTGGACTTAGCAGTTTTCACTTCCTCACTGCGTGGTCTAAGTTTCAGACCTTACGGGTTTCTTGGTGGGGGGTGGTCGGACCAAACGAAGAAGCGGGGCGGTCTCTACACTCCCTTGAGGCATTTGGGGGTATCCGTAAGGGGATGCAACCGACTCAAGGGCAAAATAAAAGTGGCAAAGGTTTTGGCTGGGAACAAGGGAAGCTAGCAAGCTACCCGGCAAACGACGTCCACCCCTTCGTTTGCCCAGAAAATGGTTGGCAACGGGAGGCCAGTTGATCAAGAAGCCGATAGTTTCTCCACCCCAAGCTCTACTTGAAACATAAAGAAGGCCATCAGATACACCAGCGATTGCAAGCTCAGCGAGGGGCAAATTGCAATGACATCTTGCGAGAGCCCCCACGCATCTTTTTTTTTTGCATTTTGGTGGAAACTTCTCCATGGCCGCATTGGCTTCAGGTTGCAAAGGGTGGGACCTTGCCGACCAGGGGGGTTCCGGCGAAGCAAAGCACCCACTGAAGTGTGCATCCATAAAATGTCAAGGCCCTGCATGAGAGGCCCGATTCCCGCAGATTCCGCTGGTTACATGGATGGAGATATGTGTAATTAACTCAGTTGATCAAGGACCTATGTGTTTCCTCTTTTTGGTCCATATATAGTCATGGCCACAAAAGGCTAGCCTTTTTTTCCGGGTCCAAGGCAAGTTGTCGAAGTGTAAGTCAGTCTGTGCCCGTTCAATAACTGCCAAGGCGCAGACTTTCCGCATCTCAACGACTTTGGGGAGGGCAAACCTGCAACAGCTCTAATGCAAGGTCGAGCTTGCCTCCATGATTGAGCATTGGTTTGGGCCCAACACCTCCATTGAAGGGAACTGCAAAAGGGAGGCTGTTTGTTAGCCAGGGGCTGCTGGCTTGTTGTCTGCTGGCTTTCCAGATTGATACATGTGAAATCATCTTGGCATCAACAGTTGGCCAATGTTGGGCGCATCTTTCTCTCGGATTCTTACGTTGGCGCGCTAGCAGACGTGTCTCGTCCGCTGGCCACTGGCACACGGGACTCGCAGCATGCCCAGCAACTCGAGCAAGGGGGTAACGCGACCCCTCTTCCAGCTGGTTTGCGATCCAGTAAGGCGTTGTGTGTTTGCTAAGAGTTTGAGATCCAACAAATGAAAGTTTGGAGGTTTGGGCTGCAAACCGCCGAGAGGCAGGCCACAACTAACAGGCGCCCAACATCCCGTCCAGGTAATTCGGGGTGGGTGCTCGTTTCAGGCCGCACCAAGCTCACTGTGACCTGGTCCGGGGTCCCGGGCCTCGCAACGAATGGCTTCGGCAGGATGCAATGAGGGATAGGTAAGTTCCCCAAGCTTTTTCGGGGCAAACGAAAGGGGCAAACGAAAAGCGTGGGACTTTCGGTTGTCATTCAACGGGAGTGAGTGTCGACCTAGGGGGTTGAGGTTCTTGCATCGGAACCCCACATGTTTGGTCGGCGAAGTACTGCACAAGTTGCCCAGACCATTTTTGTTTTGGGTAGCTGGTTATGAGAAGATGTAGTCTTGGGAAGTAATTAGTAATACATGTTGCTAGTTTCCCCTTTGGGTAATTTAGAACAGCACCTACACCAAGTGCTAAAGCTTCCTTGGTTTTTTTTGAGCCACACTGAAAACCGATTCGGGCCTCTGGATTTTAGTTGTTGCACAACTTGCGGCCATTCGAAAATGGCGCCCCCCAAAAAAGACATGGACCAAGGGAGGTGGGGTGGAGGCTCATTACAATCAAGTACCCCCCCCCCCCCGCCCCCCCCCGACGTTTCTGGTAGACCAACCAGTTCCCTGTCCTTTAGGCACACTGCCTGCGGTGTGAATGGACGAGGTCCATTTCGCACATGGGCGAAACTCTTTGCGTAGCTACCAAGCTACTGCAGACCCATACCTTGACTGCTATTGGGTTGGATCTTTAGACTTCAACTTTTTGGGAAATCAAGTTGGGTTTTCCACCAAACCCGATAAAAAAAAAGAGGAAACACGGAAAGAACGAAAACCACTTTTTGCAGGGGGGCCCCTTGCAGCAACCAAGATACGGGTCGTGCCTGTCGGAAGCTCGGAACGATCCGAAGCGTCGAGGTCCTTCGCCATGCGCACCTCCATCGACGGCAAGGTGCAAGGCCCTGGAACCTTCGGCTTCCAGGACGATCCATGGGGTCCTTTTTTCAGACTCAGACCCGGGGTTGTGACGTGGGTCGCTTGTCTTTTTGTTGGGGGTATCCATTTTTTTAGTTTTTTTGTGTAAGGGGTGTCTTTTCTTGAGGGCGCCGTTGTTCTCCTTTCAACAGCCTCTACGGCTTCCCCAGGCCATCGCTGACACGTCGGCCGGTGGGTTTCCCTGATTTGGTCCATTTTTAGTCATGGCCGCAAAAGGTTAACCTTTTAGTGTTGGGCCCTTTGGGCGACTCACGATACTATCAGCCTCTTTGAAATGAGGGCTGACATGCTTGACTGGGTGTGACACTATGAGTTTCCGATTCCTCTATGTTTCCGACCAAGTGGAATAGGAACCTCCCAACCCCTGAAACAGCCACCGCAATGAGAAGTAGTATCACAGAAATGCTTGGAGCCAACACCGACCAACCTCATTCCCACAGGGAACCCAGTTTTTTCCAGCCCAAACCTGTCTTTTTTCTTCCATCTTACCTCTTGGTTTCCGGGCAAATTCACAAAAACTGGTTGGGGCTCGGCCAAATTCCATGGGTCGCCCGGTTCCTTTCCGCAGCCTTGCAATAGACGATTTTTCGCCAGGACATGGTGGCGGTGGTGGGGGACCCCTCTCTGGTGGACTACGAGCCCCGCACCTCTCTTGACAAGATCCAAGAAGCCTTCCGCACCAGGCGCTGGGGGCGCCGGGGATTCCATTGGCGGATTGGCGGATTCCGGCGAATTCGCGGGCGTGAGCACTCTTTGTCCGGGCATTCGGCGAGGAGAAGTGTGGAGGTGGAACTTCGAGACTTTGCGATTTACTGGCGGCTGCCATAGAGATCTCCCACAAGCCCTGATGGCCGTGAAGGAAAGTCATCCGAACGCGGTTGGAAAAGGGCGCTCTAAAAGGGGCCATTGGGTTCCATGGCATAACTGTTGCCCTTAGACACGCCCGAATTGCTATGTGTCAACAAGAGGGGCTACCATGACCGTACCTCCACCCCCCCCAAAATAGTCAAACAAGTCAAAACATTGCTTAGTTCCCTTTTCAACCAACCCTAAAACAAGAACCAAATATAAGTCATAAGGTCAGGGCCCACCCCGCCACCCGAGCGGTGGAGCAGTTGGGCGGAGCGCGGAGCGGTCTCAACCCTGGAGGTGGATCCATGGCTTGAACACTCAAGCTCCATGGCTGCTCGGCGGCTTTGGCGCGCTGCTTCTTGGTTGGCGCTTTGATTTATTGGTTTGGGGGTCAACAGAGGTCCAAATGGTGCTTTGATTTATTGGGGGAGGTGCCTTTAAATACCAACCAAAGGTCAGGCAAGAGTTCTGTGTGCGTGCGTGTGTGTTTGTGTGTGTGCCCACATTTTGTGCTCAAACACACCCCCATCTCCCTGGTTTCTTTGCGGTTTCCTGAAGGGGAACTATGAAACGAAGGCCAGTACAGCTAGAACGCCGTTTGTTCTGCGCTTTTTGTATTTATTTCTTTCTTTTCTTTCTTTCTGGCTGGCGGTCAGTCTGTCCGTCCGTCCGCTTTGTTTGTGTTTTCTTTTTTGGGGGGGGCACGCGTGTCGCTTCTCTCTCTTCAGGTGTGGAATTTCTGTGTTTGTGTGCGTCTTCCATGTGTACGCGGTTGCATGTGTCTTTGCCTTGTGACGGTTGAAAAGCCAATACTTTTAGTTCCCCAAAATGTACAAACGTAAAGGCAAAGCACACCTTCTGGGCGTTCCCTCCAGGTTCATGCTGAAAACTTTGAGCGGACTCGGATGTCACCTGCACGCCAAACCAGTGCAACAGCCTTCCCTGTTTGTTTGGCAGTTGGCCCTCCAAACATCAACCCCAAACATGCTTCCTGTGTTTTTGTGACGGTCGCGCAACTGGTATGCCTGCTGTGTGTGGCGATGATGCTGGGGTTGACTCCTCATTCTTTACACCCAGGTTTGTTTGCTTGCCATCCAGCTTTCTTGTCGGCGCCACTAAAAGAAGTCGAGTTCTCGGAAGAATGCGGAATGCCGATGTTTACAAAAAGTGTTGAAGCCCAGTCCATGTTGGGAGAGTTTAGGACCTTTGTCCGGGACTTTGTGACCCAGCACTACGCGAAGTACGAATTCGCAGGCAGGGGAGCGGGAGAGAGCGGAGTCTGTGTCTAGTGAAACCTGGTGAGTCGAATCACCACACCCGAAGAGTCACTCTGCGCCTTTCTTAAGGTAAGGGGAAACAGGGCGTGGCTGATTCAGTTGGAACGACTTGCCTGTCTTGTGGTTTGAAACTGAGGTCTCCCAAATGATTTCAGGTCTTGGTGTAGGCCAAATAGGAAGCAGACGCTGAAACTCCTTGGGTACAGAGTTGGGCCAAGACCGTTCCAGTCCCCCACCCCGGATTCATCTTCGTTTTGTGGGCCGGCGAGTGCATGAGTCGAAGTAGCACGACATGTAGGCCCTTTACGGTGGAATCCGTCTTGTTATAGATTAGGCTTGTCAACTCTGGTTTAAACCAAATGCAGATTAATGTGTAGACAGTCCCGGTCCTCAATCAAGGGGGGCCCTATATGATTCCCTGTGGAGCTGTGCCACGTACTGCAAATACGAGCTGGGCCCTTGCGCCTTTGCAGGTTTGGTAGATATCAGTCTTGGGCAGTCACCAATTGCTTTTGTTGGTGGTATGTTCGGGTATATGTGTGCCACAAGGCATGCGGTACTCCTCGTGCTGGCCTGGTACCGAGCAAAGCCACATTTGAAGAACGGCTTGTTGATTTGGGGGAGTATGCAGGTACTGCTCGTACTGCACGGGCACATGGTTGAGCTGCATGTGGGGTCCGAAGAGAAGACCTCAAGGAAAAACCTCTCCAAATCCAGTGCCTCATCCCCACCCCTCTAAGAAATGAATTGAAGGGTTGTCCTTTCTGGGGAAAAGAGACTGGCTTTTCATTTGTTCAAGGCGCCCCTTTACACGCACTGCGGCAAGCTTTTGGCGGCGACATGCGGCGACCCCAATCCCAGCCAGAGCGTTGGATTCATACATTTTGTAAAATGTGGAGGAAATAGTGGATGAGTGGGCGGCAAGCAAGCCCTGACTAAGGCTTCCGCGTCATATTCCACTGCTTTGTGTTGCTAAAAGAAAGGCCGACAGGCCTCTCCAAGTAGTTCAAGCAAAGGCGCTACCCACCTCAGAGTAGAGGGCCAACTGCTGGCGGCTGTTGGATGCTGCTTGCTTGCTTTTTTTTTTTGGGGGGGGGGGGGGAAACTGGCTTATCTCAGACTCAACTGGCTTGTGTGGTTTGTTCAACATGGGTCCTTGGTCCTTGCAGATGTTGGTGCCACCGGGGATTATTAGGGTTCGGGGTCCCATGTTCAATCAGCTCGAGATACATTCAACGTTCCATTTGTGGTTTTTGTGTCGGGTTTTGTCCAAACCGGTTGTGTTTCAGCGTAAACCTCGGGTCTTGGAAACCGCCGGGAACCCAGCCAGGCGGATTGAATCCGACGCTGGTTTGGTGGAAGCTCAAACGAAATGGTTTGAGACCCGGGCGAGCCTACCGCTCTCGCTGCGCGAGGAGGGAAAGTTTGTGCCCGGCTTTTTTTGGTTAATTTTCCTTTCCCTGAAACTTTCGGTGAACGGTTTCCATGTGGTAAAGCCTTGTAAAGCGGGGGCTCGAGCGATGGGTATGTCTCAAATAGCCCCCAAACTGCCCAGCTACCCTCAAAGTGGAGAGATAGCAGGGGTCCCTCCAGTTCCCTGTTTCAGACTGCCAACAGTGGCGATCGTTTCAAAGGAACCCACCAATTAGGGGAAAAATCTCCAGAAACCCACGACCAACCTGTCAGGCCTTCCCTGGTTCATCGGGGAGTACGGCGCTAACGGACAGCCAGAGGACAAGATCATCTCGGACTTGACGCGGCTCGGCGGTTCTTTCATTCGCGGCATTGGCCGCGTTCGCTGCGGAAAACGCGTGTTTTGACCGTTGACCTCGTCCCGGATCTCACTCCATGAGTATTGGTGTTATAGCTTGTTTAGGACCATGGCGACACGCACACGCAAAGTTGTTGCGCTTTTGTTGGCTACACGCAAGAAGTGCGGGGTATTCATCGGCCTGTTGTGCGACCGCGGCTGTTTTCGAGGTCTATGGAGGCCAGCGCGACAGCGGAGGAGCCGACAGGGGCTTTAGACCTCGCCTTTGGGAAAGGCAACAAATTGAAGTGAGCTATGCAAGGAAGCTAGGAAGAAGCAGAGACAGGAAGGCGAGCTATTTTTGGTGGGCTGAGGAAATGCATTTCGGGAGCCTCTCACGGCCCTTCACAAGTCCGGTTGGACTTGGGTTCGGAGGATTTCAGTCGCAAACGTACTTTCCCTAGGATTTTCCCACAACCACCCCCCAGCCGAACACTCCAGGATGTCCATTCCCCTACTTGCGACCTGCGCCTCAAAGGGAGCCTGGCGGTTCCCAGCCACACCCAATCACGGGCTCCTGTAGCTGCTCCGAGATTTCATAGACGAAGTTTCTTGGTGCATAAATCGTTTGTGGGACCCACGGTGTATGATTAATGGCCTGCTCTCCGTCTCCCTTCCTCGTGCACCTGCTGCGAGGGTAAGAGCACGAACCGTGTCACCTGTTGGCAAGGGGCAGGGCGACTCTGGAGGTCTTGGGCCTCAAGTTTGGCATTTCAAGGGGAACAAGGCAAAGTTTTCGGGGAAACATCAAGCAAGCAACAAGCATATACGGGGCCATGAGGTAACAGATGAGGATATCTGACTTCGAATTAGCCCATCTTGGGGCCAGATGGCACATGATGGCACAAGAGAGCCTTTCGTGCAATTCAAACCCGTCTTGGGAGCCTAGACCCTCAACCGAGACACTCATTGGTGCTATTTTTTTGAAGCGGTTTCCCCTTGAAGGCAACTGCCAAAACAGGTCCCCCCTGGTTCCCGTGGTTGCTGGGGTTTTGGTCAAAGTTTGGTTTGACGGTGAGGGAAGGTTATTATGTGATTGATTTGAGTTGGGGGCTGAGAATGCAACATTGCCAGGCCTAACTCACCATACTTGTTTGGCCCCTTTTGGGGCTTCCTTTTCTCACAGGCTGATTGAATACACCTATACGTCCATACCAGTGGCTTCCCGGCGGGTACATTTTCCTACTGTTTGGCTAAAAATACTGTTTTCCATCCAGACGGCACTTTTTGCGCGAAACGACACTTTTGCAAGTTTAGCATTGCAGCGGTCGCTTGCCAGGCAATTTACCCGTCCAAACGGCAACTTTTCCCGTCCAAACGGCAACTTTTACCGACCGTTTGACGGGCATTTTGTGAAATGGCAGTTTTTGAGGCAAACGGCTAGGCACGTTGGGATCCTTGAAGGCCGACTTCCCATCATTCACGTCATCATTGGCGGGTTTGTTTGACCCATAAACCAGGGGTTTATTTTTCAGACGGGCCAATTTCCGAGTCGCACTGCAAAGGGAAGCTGAACCACCCCCCCGAGTGGCACTCCAAAGGGGAGCTGGAGAGGACAGCCTCTTCCTGGGATCTGCTTTCTTCCAGTTCCAGACTGCCTACAGCCGCGCCCTCGGTTCGGCGAGCTACGCGGTTCGGCGAGAGCCATGGAGCACCCGCCTGGCTCGGATGGTTTTTTCTTGGATGCGCTGAGGGAGCGGGAGCATTCGTTTACCCCCCCCCCCCCAAAGAAAAAAAGAAAGCAAAGGCCCGATGGATCTAAGCAGGGCACAACACCCACACAACGCCGACTTCTTTACTTTGAGTTTGTACAAGACAACTTTTTGGCGGAAGAAAGTCCCCCTGGGAGCCCAAGTTGAGTCTCGGCTCGAAGACATTTTGTGCCGCTTGGATGGTAAGCCGACTCCTCGTGCCGAGTTCGGATCTTCCTTCAAGCCACTTGAAGGCTTGATGAAGCTGGACCCCTTTTCGTGAGGTTGAGAGCTTCTCTATATTACTTTTGGGATGGCTTCCCTTTGAACCCCCATTAGAGGGTGACTTTCTTAGAGTGTCGGACCTTGGTCCCAGTTCGGCTCAGTGCGGACAGGGGGTCACGTGAAAGACGGCCTTTTTGGCAACAAGCTTGGAAGCGGAAGGGCCTGGGAGGTCTTCCAAAGCCGGTCTATACTTCTAGGTCCCCCAGCAGTGCCCTGTCTTTACCCTTTTTTGGGGAGGGTTCCCCTACTAAGATAGACTACAGAGAAAAAAAAGTACCCTTATTCTAACCTCGCTACTGGAAGATCTAGACTTCCATGATTGGAAAGAGGGAGGTGGAGAAGCCCATGGTTTAGACATCCCTTTTTGTTTCTTACGGTCTTAGACTTTTGTTTGGCCGGGTTTCCCTTTGACATCAGCTGCAAACGACCAGCTGTGCACTTTTTATGCAGTAATCCATTGGAGGTTTGGCTCACCCTGACCAACTCCCCTGTGTTCCAAAAAAAATGAGTCCTAGAACCGCCATAGTTATTCTTCGAGTATTTCTCACATCCCTCATTTTCAGGAGCAAACTATGCTAGAATTCTATGAGGACCTTTTTTGAAAGGCTTAGTTCCGGTTAGAGTGAGCCGTCGGCTTCATGGCACCTAAGAGGGTACTTCCCGCATTGGCGTAGACATGTACAACTGTTCGGAGCGTCCAGTTGTTTTCCTCAAAGACGAGAATCGGTCACAAGCAATCCGCACCATCATTGGAGGAGCCTCCTTAGAATGGAACGCCCTTTTCGGGGTTCCTTCCGTTGGATGGACAACATCCTTTACAAATTGGTAGGTAAGGTTTCATCTACACTCATAACTGGTGCCTGTGGATTTAGTCACCATCCGCATGCCTGGTTTCAATGTTCCTCCTCGCCCCCGCCTCCCCCCCCCCTCCCGTTTGCACCATCCAGCCCGCAGCTTTCTGCTTTCGGCTGCCTCAGAGACCGAGACTTGCCGAGACTTGCCGAGGCAAGGGCGGGTCCGAGCTGAACTTCGGGCTCTACGGCCTGGGCACCAGGCGCAAACTCCGAGGGTTCGCTCGTTCAAGAGCCCCGCAAATGGCCGGGGCGGGGGGGGGGGAGGGGAGGGGAGTGACTCACCGCGTTTTTTGGATCCTTCCGGGTTGTGAGAAGATAGGTAGGTAGGTGGTTCTTGGGTGTGTCCCCCTGTTTGTGACGGTAGGTAGTTCTTGGGAAAGTTTCCCGATGTGTGTTGTTTGAACTGGGGACCCCAGAATGAGAGGGGTACGGGTTGAAGAACCATGAAGAACCCCTTGAAACGACGCAAAAAAACCAGAGTAAAACGGTGTCAACGAAATGGGGAAACCAACTACAGTGATAGTATACAAGAACTTGAAAATGTATAGGGGACCAGGCTTCCTCTTGTCTTCCCTTGAAAACCATCGAAGAGTACCACATTCACGGAGACCCGAAACGGGGTGTCGACGTCATGCGGCTGCTCTAAGTGCAAGGGCCGGGGCGATCAGGTGGAAGGGGGGGATTGGGGAGGCGCCTAAAATGGATTTGCCAGCACCCTCCAAGGGTGGTCCATTTTGTGCTTGCAGTGCTCTTGTGTGAGCCATTTTGGGTACAAATGGACCACCCTTGGAGGGTGCTGGTGTATTCCTTTTGGTGGCCACTCCAACCAAAAGGGGGCCTTCCCACAAAAGACACAGCTCCAGAGACCGGTTTTTTCCTCTTGGGTTGGATAGGTTCGGGGCTTCTTCTGCGCCAGGTTGGGCAAAGCTCGCGAGCTAGGGCAAAGCGACATCCCGTGAGGAAGGTCCCTCCAAGGTCGCTGGTTTCCAGTTTGGGAATTAGAGAAAGTCGCCCAAATGAATAGCTCACTTGCCCAAAGTCGACCTTTTGACCTTGAAATTCCCCTGATTTGGTATCATATGAGACCACCTAGTCAATGACAACCCGCAAGGTCCTTCCCGGAGCCACAATCAAAACTTGGGATGACAGAAGTACCAGTCCCAACCAGAAACAAGTGCGGATATCCGCTTTTTGCAGTGGGGTAGGCTAGGTTTTGAATATGACTTCGGTTGAGCTTGCGTTTCGGTTCCCTTTCCAGTGGCTTCCCATTGTGGATTACAGATTGGGCCTGGCAAGACAAGTGAGGCCCTATAAGCCGTTTTGAACATTGATCGGACTCCACGGGTTGCAGGTTTCTCACCATCTCGCCCGCTTCTAACAATATATGGAATATTCTAGATGCTCGTCCAGAAGTGTTTGTGCGTCACGGGGCCTTGCGGCTTCCCGTCTTTTGCCCGGTTAGGCTGATCGGCGAGACGGGCCTGGTCTGCGATCGCAAGACGGAGTGTCGGGAGTGGCCCGTCTTCTGCCCCCCGGCGTGGACCCGTCTCGAGTCTCCCAGATTAACATGGGCACCTTTAAAGGGACCGCTGCGTTCCATTGTCCAGCCCCGGAGGTGTTGGAACTTTAAGACCTTTTGGTGAAAATAGTGGCTGAGCTTCTACTTGCTGGGTTTGGACCATGGTCCAAAAGGTTTAGACCTTTGGCCAATCGGAAGTAAAAGCGGAGCAGTCTCCCTGGACCCCAACGGGCCCCCCAGAACTACCGTGAATTTTGCAGAAGCAGGCGAATTTTATCTGCAAAAGTGCGTGTGCGGTTTGAGGGAACTCCCGAATCGGCTGGTTTCCCTTTCGCAACCATTTGAAGGCAACGTTTGGAACGTTAAATCAAAGGATGGCAGATGACGGCAGAAAAGGCACAAGTTGTACCAAATCAAAGAAAAGGACGGCCACCCAGATGGCTACCCAAAAAGTCGACTCCGTTCCCATTTAAGACCTACCAAAAAGGGAGCATCAACTGAAATGTCCTTTTCCACTTAAAGCCTGGCAATAGGAAAACGCATAGGAAACCGAACTTCATGGGAAACCCGAGGCCAGCCACCCCCCCCCCCCCGACCGCCCCCTCGCCGGAGGCTTGGAGGCGCGCCTCCCGTGGTTCGCGACCACCCCGGCGCTGGCCAAGCGTGCGCAGGCGGACTTTGGGACGTTGGGTTGTTGGGTATGCTGGGGGTAATAAAGTCTGCGCCGGACTTTTAGGATCCCAGCTTTTATGTGGAGTCAATCGCCAACTTTTTATGATCCCAACCTCATCTGGAATCGCCAACTTTTACGATCCCTGCTTTTATGTGGAATCGCCAACTTTTATGATCCCAGCTTTTATGTGGGAATCGCCAACTGTTATGATCCCAACCTCATGTAAAATCGGCAACTTTTACGATCCCAGCTTTTACATGGAATCGCCAACTTGTAGGATCCCAACCTCATGTGGAATCGCCAACTTTTGAAATCCCAGCTTTTATGTGGAATCGCCAACTTGTTTAATGACAATCTCATGTGGAATCGCCAACTTTATAATCCGACGTCACCCCCCATCTTTTCTTGCCGGTGCGATAGGTAGGGAATGAGACATGGAATGGACCTGGGGATTCCAGAAGAAAGGAAAAACCGCCCAAGGGGTTCTTCCAATTCTCATTCCTGCAGATTCCCGAATAAAGGAAAGCACCAGTTGGATCAGGGTTGTGGAATCAAGGGGTTTATTCCCCCTTCTGTGATACAAGGAAATCTCCCCCTTTATATGGGGTGTTAGTCTTTGGGAAGCCCTTTTTGTATCACGTGGATTCCATTTCCCACAGCCCTGAGTTGGATGGTTTGGGGTCAATTCCCTGCATCCAATCGCAAGCTTGGCCGCGGCCGCGCCGGCCCCCCTTCACGCGAGGCCCTGGCAGAGGCTTGGGGCGGAGAGGCCTTGGACAGCCTCTGCTGCCCGGGGCCTGGCATCCCCACCCCCTGAAAAATGGAATGGTTCCGTTTTCAGATGTTTTTTGGGAAGACTGGATAAATGGAATTGGACCCCCACCCCCTCCCCCTGAAGGCAGGAGGGATTTGGCGTCCGGCAGCCCCCCACCCCTCCCCCGCCGCGGCATTTGACTGGGTCTCCTCCCATTTGTTTGGTTGAAGGATGGGCTACATGCAGAACAGAAAGAACAAAGAAGATTCGGTATACTATTGTATCCTCCATCTTGGACAATGTTTCGGCTTGGTTTGCAAGGGAAACTCGGGGGAAACTCCACCCACACTGCACCTCAGGATTTGTGTCACATGTCAGAAGGATCGGTCTCCGAAGGTTCAGCTGTGGGTGTACCCTCGAGGTGTTCAACCAATCGGCTTGCGAAGTTTGGGTTTGGCTCGCTGGGTTTCTTGCAACTCCCTGGTGCAAGGGCGAGCAACCACCTCAACCTCACACACAAAACGCTGGAACCCGTGGTATCAGGATCTTGTGGGGTCCCTAGATGTGGACCAATGTTTAGGTGGGCTTCTACTGTGATATTTGCTAGAGAAATGTGTCGGGAGCCCTGCGCAACCCGGGCTGAAACGGCTTCCGCTTTGCCAGGGCCTCCAGTTTTGTGTTTCTTGTCCTTTCGGGTTTTGCATTTGCTTCAAGCGTGGCGTCCTTTGTTAAGTCAGCTAACCAAATGGGGCGCTGTTTGCCCTTTGAGGTGGAAGTGGCCTAACTGCGAACCCAAACTCAGACGCAACACGTACGACCCACCCCATATTTGGGTGAACCAGGTGAAATCCTTTGATCTAACATCAGGTGGGTCCGACTTCTTGGCCTCTGGCTAACTTCACTCGATAGCTATCCCAGCTTCTGGACGGGCGCTCGTGCCCGTTCCTTTCTTTCGCGTCAGCACGCGTTCGCGTCCTAGGAGAATCCGCGGAGCTCGGGTCTTGAGTGTCTGGAGGACAAGAGTTCCCCCAGACGCCTCGGCAGCAATGCCGTGCTTTGCTGCATTTACTTCCTCATGTCTCCTTTTTGGCGCAGAACAAGTGTGGCCCCCACGCCACTGGGACGGATTCCGATGGCACGAGAGAGAGAGAGAGAGGTCATGTGTGCTAAACGCTATAGCTTCCCCAGCTCAGGGACTTTAAAACTGTTTGGGAAGGTCAGGTTGGCGGCGTACGAAAAAGTCTGGATTTGTTCTGAGCGAGCCACTGAACACATTGAGTGCGGAGAACCATCCCGAAAACCGAGGAAGCTAAGGAACCTTTCGCTGGTCACATGGCACCTGTTAACCCTAACGGGGAATCCTGCTGGAGTAGAATCTGCTGAGAAAACCGGTCAAGGCGAAGTGAGGCATTTTGAGTTGTTAGTTGCAAGGGAGCTCGTGCAGGGCGCTTCCTATATTCCCCGTCTAGGTCCCCCGGTGGTGCCCTTTTACCCTTTTCTGGGGGAGGGTTCCCCTACCAAAATAGACTACAGAGAAAAAAAAGGGTTATTCGAACCTCTCTACTGGAGGACCTAGCTGTTTTCTTGCTTTAGACATCACCTTTTGAGCGTCACTGCGGGGAGTTTCCTCCAGTTGAGGCGATGTACTGGGCAAGGAACCCCTCAGTTGGCCGTATCGTGCCCGGTGATAGAGTTCCAGGGGTCGTGTGAGACGCCCCTTAGCCGAGGCGTTCATAAGTAATCCTGGGTCCCCCGGCCCGCAAGGATCTGGCCAAGAATGTGTCCTACTTGGGGCACAAGCCATGTCCCATACGAAGTCTGAAGGTAGCAAGCGAGTGCAGCGGAGTACGCGCTTCCTTTGCACTTCCCATCATCCTGTACGGGGCCCCATTACACGTGGGGGTCGCAGGTTGGTGATGGTCTTTTGAGGGGGATGGACACCCCTTGCTTGCTGTACAGATAGCCTCGTCCCAACGCAGACAGCGCTGGGACGAGGAGTTGCCTGAGAATTTGCTAGGCTGAAGACTTCACTCTTCAGTTTCCTTTTCCCATGCTTGCCGCACCTGGTTCGGGACCAAGATCCACGTCTCCCACATGTCGCAGCTTGTCAAGCATCTTGGGTTGCCGGGCGGGCGCGCGAGTGCGGTCGAGACACGCAGCCGAACGCGCTGTGGCAGTTTTGCCGGAGCGGGAAGCGCAGACAACAACGGAGTATCCCTCGCTCGGGGCCTTGGTTGAGCAAGTATTCCCATGGCAGTGTTGGAAAATGTGTGTTTTCCTGTGCCCAGGTGCTAATGAGGAGCCAGGATCGGCAAACCCCTGCTTGGTTGATGGAGGTCTCACGGAGAGAATCCTCGACGAATCCGGAGTCCACAGTAAGTCGACCCTTCAGCCACCCTTGATTTCAATGCATGCGCTAAGACCCCCTCATGCAACCCTTCCGGCCATTTTCAATTGACATTTATGCGCTCAAGACTCTCTCTTCCATCACCACTTCACCTTCAATTGAACGGACTTGATTTGACCCGGCACTGAGCCCACGGGCGGTGGATGCGCAGTGCCTCTTGCGCCGAATTCACATCGAATTCATTTACACGCACTCGGGGTGCACGTGCGAGCCCCAGACCTCTGTGTTGCTTCTTTTTCCCCATTTTTTGGCTTTCCTTTAACATCACACTGCCGCAAGGTCCTAAACATTTCGATGGGTGCGTGGGGCATGAAGCAAATTACCTGTCAAACATATAACTATATAACCAAATAGTATTATATATATATAGTATTAATATATATATATACGCATACACAAAGCTCCTTTTGATTTGTCAATATGTCCGCCCACAATTAAACAAAATACCCCTACATAAAGCTAAATAATTCCCCATCGAACTTAGGTGCACATCTTTTCCCATGGCCACCAGAGGTCTGGCACGCACTCCAAGAGTGCAGTTCGCTTTTCCATGGCTCAGACCGAGCAAATGAAAAAACGCAGGGTGCGGGTGTGGGCACTGGCTGTGTCTTTCGCCAAGGGAATTTAGCAGGGGCATACTAAATGTGTGAATCAACTTCCCTGTTTTCTGACACTGCTTGGGGGTGGCCCCTGCAGCACTTGATACTTCAGGGTCGGCGAAATATGAACCCTTATTTCTCAAGGGTGTCCCGTGTTCAGCCTTCCAAAAAGGAGAAAAATGAGTTCAGCTTCTCAACGGCTGTCACACGAGGGGCCCGTTCGAAGGCTCCTGTTTTACCTTTTTCCCCGAGCCAAAAGTGGGTCGCGGCCAGCTTTCGTCAACCCAACTCCGAGCCATGGTGAAGATTGGCTGCCGACCTGAACATGTGTGTCTTTCTTGCTTAAAGGGGCTCAAACAGAGAGTGAAGCAACTTGTCCAGCAAGTCCCAAATGGCAGAAAGCCATTTTGAAACGGGATTTGTGTGGTCGTGTGAACGTAGGTGAAATACCCTCCCCCAGGCTAACATGGAAGCTTTCAGGACCTGTTTGAAAGACTTGGTTCCATTTACAGAGGCCAACCGGTGGAGCTTTCATGTCTGTCTCATGGAGTCTATGGGTGAGAACCCAGGTCACTGGGTGAGAAAGATAAAATGTGGCGCGGCGCCAGGCCCTATGGAAGTTGCAGGAGAAGCAGGCGGATGAGGCGTGGCAGAGGACTGGGGAGCCGGGAGTGGAGCAACATTGGAACCCGTTCTCATAGGTGTCCATTTTGGTTGATTTGGTTTAAAGATAGAGGGCCCCCTGGTTCACCTGGTGGTTCCATCAACGACCAGGGCTATCTATTTTCCCTAGAACGCCACCTATGCCCGTTCTGGGTTGGGTTTTCTTTGCAAAACGGAGTCCCCCCGCCCCCCAAAAGAAACATGACACATCTAGGCAGGGTCACATCCATGAAGTGGGGGCCCTTGGTACTCACATGGCTGCGCTATGGAGGGTCCATTGGCCCTTGACTCCCGCAAGCAGTTTGTACTCCTGCTGTGTGTTTGTGTGTGGTTTCTAGGGGACCACCCCTAAAATCGCTTTCCTTTTGGTTCTGCTTTGAAACCACGAAGAAGGACTGCCCGCAAAAAAGAAGCACCCTTGTGGCAAAACGAGTACTGACAAATGACCAGCAGGGAGATACAGAGAGGGTTACTTGCAACCACGACCAGAGAGGGTTAATTACTTGCAACCACGACCTTGGGGAATACCAAGAGGAAGCTGGGCTCAACCGTTGCCGTAAAGCCACAGGGGCCAAGCATAAAAGCTGGGCAGGGCGCGCTACTAGTACCAGCGCCTTTCAGGACTTGATTTGGCATGCGCGCTTGTAAGTACCCACTTGCGGTTGTAGACTTTGAAGGGAAATCCAACGAACATAACCTCGTAGGAGATCTTCACGGTTTGAGACCAACGCTCAGTTGCCATACCGACCTTTTTAACCTTGAGAAGATCTTTGGTTTTCTCAATTGTTTGTTCCCATATGGGTCCATGTTTAGTCAAGACCAAAAACATATCACATTTCATCTTCAGCTCCTTAAAGTATGCAAGGCCCGATTGACTTGCCGGACACGCTTGCATGGTACTTCCCGATTCGCGCACTGCAGCCCGGTGCAAGACCGGCGGAGACTCAATGCGTTGAGTCTGGTGGACCCGTGCTATCCATCCGATTCTATCACGAGCATGGGGGCAAATCGAGTCCTGTTTTTAACAATTCTCGGGAAGATCAGGTAAGGGAGTCGGAAGCTGATCACTTCTTGTCCAAAGCCAAGCTTGGGTCAATATTCAGCCAAGGTAACCCAAAAGGTGATCATGATTTATTTTTTGTGCAAGTGAGCTTCTGCATGTCAAGCTCCTCAGCTGGAAAGCCACACCCCAAACCAGCGATCTTCATTCAACCAGCCAGTGTTTTTTTCCCGCATGTTCACTCGTTGTTTTTTGCGGATCGTGTTCAAACGGGGAAGGACTGCGCTCGGCAAAGGCTTCCTTTTCTTGATGGCTCCCAGCCATCCGGTTCCTTGTTTGTTTTTAGTTGTTTAGTGTAAAGTTTAGCGGGGTTTTCCATTTAGCCCATCAAAAGTCCAAAACTTGTTGGCAGGGGATCAGAAAACGGACAGCCCAGCTTTGGCTTCCCGTTTTCGGGTACCCAGCGATTGACCAGCCAATCCACCGTTTTCGTGCGCCGCCATGGCATGGAAGCCGAAGGATGCTTTGGCGCCGGCCTCGGGTTAGGGGTAGCCGGGAATGTGCGATGCACCGGGTTGGGTGTTGGGCTAGGTCCCCCAGCTAGGTGCCCTTTTTCACCCCTTTTTTTGGGGGAGGGTTCCACTATGAGAGTAGACGAAAAAGAAAAAGGGCAACCTTATTCTAACCTCTCTACTGGAAAACCTAGTTAGGGTTAGTTTGGGGTTGGCGCTAGTTGTTGTAGGTCCGCCAAAGGCTCCCCTTTTGAAATGCAGGATCAGGCCATCCCATTATGTGTCTATGGCTGGGAGTGGAGGTAGGGTTAGAAATTTGGTGCTTGTAACCCCGGATCAAAGAACCTGGTGGTTTCTTGGGCTCCCTCAATCCTTGCACTTTTGGTACTTTTTGGGAAGGCCATTTCGGTCGCAAACAGAAACTGTATGGCTGTTTAATTAGATCTTTGAACTTTCAGTGTTTGGTTGAAGCAGGTCGGATTTTCCATTGGACCCACAAAAAGCGAAGCACTTCCGGCAACCAAAGGTCCGACTTTCTGGGCTAATTACTTCCCCACTCAGGAAGTGAGTGGGGGGGTCTTCGCAAAGGGAATTTGCCCTCTGGAACATGACCCTCGAGAGGTTCTGCTTCCGGGGGCTAAGCAAACGGTTTGGCTCACCGTTGCCCAGCTAAAGTGGGAAGTTTCTGATACCTTTCAGCCTTTCAGCCGGCCCAAGGTGATAAACTAGGTTCTTTGCAAATGAGCCCAATCCCTCGCACTGAAAGCAACCAGACATGATTGCAAGCCAAGTGCACAAATTGCTCCCCAAGAGTCCTATGGTGGTTTTTCTTCCGCTAGTATGTGTTTGCTTTGTTGGTTGTGTTCATTCTGTTATTTTGAGGTGGCGGGGACCGGTGGTCTTTTGGGGACCGGGGGTCGCCAAATATTCGCGTGAGGTGCTGGTGCTTGATGTGGGCGCGGCCATGCAGCAGACCTTTGCCACGGCCAACGACGGCAGCAAGGCGCTCATGGCGGGCGGACCTGGTTACAGGGCTGCCTGTCAGGCAACCCTTCGGTGATTTCGGGATTTGAAGCGCTGGCTGTACAGAAATGAGAAACCAAGCCTGAACCCAACCACCAATCCTTTCAACAACTCGAGGGAAGCTGACCCTATGGGTGTTCCTCATGGGATTCGGGAAGCCAAGGTTCACCAGTTTCCTCAAAAAGCGCATCCAGTTATATACGGCTTTTGTGTTTTTTGTTGGTTAGAGTTCGGCCAAAGTGTCCCGGTGAAACAACTGGTTCCTGGACCTTTTTTTTGCTGCAAGGGGTTTGTTTTACAGCTGTTCAAGCATGTTTAGACCAGCTGGCCCAACCTTGGCCATTGTCATTTTGTACTTCGAATGTTCACCTACATGATTTCCAATTATACCGAAGGAAAAGGCAATCCCAAATAGGTACCCTGATGGACGCAATCAATCCCCATCTCGGTGAGATGAGGAGTCAAGGTTCACGTCCATGAAGGGAGGTATTTTCTCCAGACCCTGTTCGACGTTGAGGCGCCCCGATTCAAACATTCATCCCATGAGTTAATCCTTGAGCGGACAAGGGGCATGATGCAGGAGACCCTCATGATTTGAAAGGTTGGATCACCCATTTGTTTATCGGTTTTCCTTTGAAAACCCACAAGACCGGGGCTGCCCCTTGAGACACCTTGTAGCCATTTGAGAGTGTCTTTTTGGAGAGTGCCGCCTTTTTTTGGTTTTAAAGGTAAACCCGGGGAGAAAAAAAAAGCCGAAGCCATTTTGTTTAGAAGGAGAACCAAGAGGAAACATGCAGCCATTTTGGGGATTCCCCCAAGGAAAAGGACACCTGGCGCGATTCATTCGCCAGGTGACCCGAGCGCAGACGGCCCTGGGGGTGGCGCAGCAATTGGTGCAGCAGAGGCTCTTCTTCGCGCCAAAGAACGAGGTGCCGCGTTTGTTTTTTGGGGGGGTTTTCGAAGCCCAATGTCCGATGTCTCTTCAGATTTAGGACCTGGATATTGATACATTCGATAAAGTTGCGTCCGTTTGGAGAAGGACACTCATTGAAAGGTCCACGTCGAACACCTCTGGTTGTTTGATCTGGTGCTTTTGGTTGGAGTCCGGCGGCAGGATTCTTGGATTTGGACCCTTCGAAATGCTTGGTTTCCTTTTGGTGTTCCTTCAAAACAAGCCAAACAGGGTGCCCTCAAAAGGACCTACATGATGATTTTTGCACTTTTCCGAGTTCAGGGAGGCAAGCTGCACAACCTAAGACTAAACATGTGCTGTTCTGATGTGAAGTAGTCTGGGCTGACAACGAGCTTACCCAAAGGTAGAACGAACTCACAGACATGATGAAGCTCCCTTTTGGAGAGGGGACTCCTTCTTCCGCTTGGTTAATGCCATGATCTCTGGCAAAGCAGAATGGCTTTTGTAGAGGGTAGATGGTGATAAATGAGAAACTGCCCCTAGCCTCCAAACCACGTTATCCAAGCCACCAGAGGGAAGCTAAGCAAAATCCGGTTTCCTGGAATGGCGTCCACTGTCCCCAACGGTTCCCGGTAGGGCCCCAAAAGACCTCGACTCGGGTTTCCTGGTGTCAGGCGGGGGGGTCGCTTGAAAATTATTGGCTCCCTGATGTCACCTTCAACAGCTCGTGGGGTCAAAGACCAACCCAGGCCGAACCAAGCAACATGGGTTCGTCCTTTGCCCATGGCCACTGGGCCGTAGGGTGGCCAGGTTGGCATCGTTTTCTTCGGCACGGAGGACACCAACAATGACCTGCAGGACCGAGGGCATGCCCAAAGCGACAGAAATCGGTTGCCTTGGTGCTCCAGGGTCACTGGCTGCAGATGGGTTGCACTTGGGAGTTGGCAACCGGGCAGCTTGCTTTCAATGGGAACATCTCGGTAGACTTTTCTTCCAGGATGCTTCTCTTTATTCAGTGTCACACAACCCAAGAACATGAATCTTTCTGGAAAGATGCATGAGATAGAAAAATAATCTGGAAATCAATCTGTGTAGCACCTTTTTACTACTGCTGGCCCCGGATTTGTAAGGCTGGCACAGTGGCACAGTAACCTCACAAAGAACACAATCCCGTCCAACATGGGTTGCACACCGCATGAGTCAGCCAAAGTGTTGTTGGACTTGTCCAAAACCAAACTTGCAAGCTTGCAACATGTTCGTTACTTTGTTCAGGGTGGCTACCAATAAACATGAAACCTGTTTGATGAAACCCTGGTTGCTTCCTAAAGAGTCTTTTCGAGTTGGCTTAGGAGGGAAACCAAAGGGACACCCTATTCCAGCACACTGGGTTGGCATTACTCGGCAAAATTGTAGCGAGTTCTCACCTGGGACTCTCCCATTCCTGGATCTTTGCCCGGGTTGCCCTGGGCAAAGGGCAGTTTCCCACTTGGATGGGGTGGCCGTGCCCCAAGCGAAGCCACTTCCCCATGGAGT